AGTAATCACAGACTACACCTGTTGAAGTGATACTGACTTATTAGCATCAGGGGGAAAAATTCTCAACTGCTAAAACATGGAATAATTGGTACCTAACAACATTTTTTTAAAAAAATAAATTATAAAATTAAATTATTAAATTATCAAAGATTAATTCCTTTAGAAAAGTAAACAGTTTAACGAATATTGATCTGTTCTCTGGTTTGCCCATAGCACTTTACCATGCCCTTGTTTAATTTGCTGCTGCAAAGGCTAAAGGAAAGAATAAAACCTTATTAAACAGTGTAATTTACACATCAAAGGACGAAGATAAACAACTAGTTATTTTAACGTTGGTGAATCTCTATAAGCTCAGCAAAAACATGATTGTTCCACTTGAAATTATGATCTTCCCAAACCAGTATCACCTTTAGAGACAGAGATTTTTTTTTAGTGTGGTATCAAATATCACCAGAAGCTAGAGCCGTATTAACTTTTATTCAGTAGAACTGAAAAATTAAATTCAAATCAATAAGCATTTAAGCCCAACAGTGCCTCTTTGCAAAAGAAAATGAAGTATTTAGATGCGTATTTTTTTGACCCATCTTCAGGGTCCGCTGAAAAGAACTCTACCTCCACCTAGTGGACCACCTCGAAACATGTTCACAGTTTGAAAACTGTCCCAGGGGATTGCAAAGCCATCTATGTGAATAGGCAACTAAATCCTCTTGGGGATACTAGTAGTCTGACAGAGGATTTTCTTCTCTTTGCTGTTAGCTCTCCACATGCCACATTTTTGAGGACTTCATACTGAGGTTAAGCACATGAACATTCACCCTTTTGGATTATGCTGGATTTAAAACAGTGTAGGACTATCAGTACCAAAAAAAAAAAGAAAAAAAAGCTGAGTTATGGCTATAGCGTTTTGGGGTTTGTTGGTTTTGTTGTCCATTTGTCTATTTTTATATTCCAGTGCATGTGGGCACATCCATGCTGATGTCTGAAGGTGGGTAATCTGCCAGTGTTTTAAGTTTTCTATAAGCAAAACAAATTGCTCCTCTGGAATACCCTCCCTTCCTTCCACCAACAGACAATATTCTGCTTCCCAAAAGACTGTGTATTTGTTTGCATGTTTGCTTAAATGCTCCTTCCCACACATCACAGGAGCACACAAGTGTGACCCTTCTTCCAGATATTTGGCTTTTCATCTTCGAAACTGCCCACTGACTGAGCCTGTGGGTCAGAATTTCCTAAGCCATGTCTTCCACAATAGCAGACCCACTGCCATTATCAACCTAGCTGAACACCTGTGTCTGGTAGTCTCCTCACCTTTCTTCCCAGCCCACAAAAAGACTAACTGTGGATGAGAAACTGTTCTCTCTCAGCACCATTTTTCTTCTGTGTATGTCTCAGTCTTAACAGGTATGTATACATGTATACACATTATATTATATATCATGTATACACATTACAGCAACTACAAATACACCTCAAGCAGCTCCCACAAAAGCTGAAATACCAGCTGCCACCTCCAAAACATCTCACCAATACCACTCCTGAGCTTGGCAATGGGCAAAGCAAGTAAGCTGTACAAATTCTGACACCCAAGAAGGCCACTCATTGTTCCTTCATCCCAAGAAACATGGAGACTCACTTCACAAGCACAAGTCAATCAGATCTTATGCACAGAAACAGACCTTCAGCATCCGAGGTGACCTTATTGTGGCCTTCCAGTATCTTAGGGGGGCCTATAAGAAAGCTGGGGAGGGACTTTTTAGGATATCGAGTAACGACAGGACTAGGGGGAATGGGGCAAAGCTGGAAGTGGGCAGATTCAGGCTGGACAGGGTCTCCCCATGAGAGGGGTGAGACCCTGGAATGGGTTACCCAGGGAGGTGGTTGAGGCCCCATCCCTGGGGGTCTTTAAGGCCAGGCTGGATGAGGCTCTGGGCAGCCTGATCTAGTGGGAGGTGTCCCTGCTCATGGCAGAGGGGTTGGAACTGGGTGACCCTTGTGGTCCCTTCCAACCCTGACAGATTCTGATCAGTTTTAGCAGAGGACTTTAGAGCCCTAATGGCTCAATGGTTGGACTTGATGATCTTAAAGGTCTCTTCCAACCTAAAGGATTCTATGATTCTATACACAGAGACTAAAAAAACCATGGTGGGGGTGTAACACCATTGCTGCCTTCCTCAATCAGAAAAATAAGTTAATGACTAACAAGGTATAAAGATGTTAATCACAACACTAGCTAATTAGCAGCAGATGCACTTACAAAATTCACCTTTCCATACTAATTTTGCCATGCACATTACCTCGGAGTTTCTTTTCCACAAGAAGTGAAGTTGAATTTATTACTTTCTATTCTTTCCTTTACTTAGCCTCTTGCTTCTTCCCAAGCCCTCAGGATCCTCATCTTCTCTCCACTCCACACATAACATCAGGATACCACCTCTGTTACTCAAGTCTTTAGAGCTCAGTCTTTGCTCTTCTTCTGGGTTTCTTCAGTGGAAGAGATACCATCCTCTTACCTAAATGCTATACAGTCCAACTCAAGTCTTTCTTTGTTATTACAGTTTGATATACCAGGAAACAACCTACATTCAGTATCTTTTACCTGAGTCTGCTTATGTTGTACAAATGCATTCAAGAAATAGAACACAAAAGTCTGAAACAACTACAGCAACCATCTTCCACCAGAGAAAATTAACATTCCTTTCAGACCACTTCTTCAAGCTCCCTGTAACGGCTGGTCATCTACTCCACCTGTTTAAGTAACAAAAGCCTCCTACTGCAGGTTTAGCCTGAAATCTATATGAAATCTTTTTTTAAGAGAAGGATCTACCTGAAAGTTCTGTACCCTGACAATACCATACTGCCTTATCTGTCCAAACTGTACAGAGTGGGCTAGAGTAACTGATGAAAGCTACGGTCTCAGGTTAGAACTTCAGATAAGCCTCAGATGCAAGTGTTAACACCAAGTGTGGTAAGCCTCCCAAAGGATGTATTTTAATTTTCTTGTTACCCATTTCTCATGTCTATTATAAGCCATTCAGTGAGTGTTTCTCAGTAGCTCTTATAAACACCTCTGATGAGATATAGTTCTCACTAAATTCACAAAAGAAACCTTATGTTGATACTTAAGGATGGGTGAAGCTTTCGGAGTCTCTCTTTATCTGTCAGAAAACAATACGTCTCTAAGACCAACTTAAAAGTGCCAAAAATTACCTGCTCAAAATAAATACACAGTAGTCTGTATCTCCCTGCCCTAAACGACACATACAATGGATTTTCTGCTGCTGTTGAAGAGATTTATTGCACTTTACATAATACATCAAAATTAATACTCAAAAAAGAATACAAAAAACACAAAGCAGAAACACAACACCCAAAGGAAAATACAAGGAAGGTAAAGGTAGAACAGAAGATAAGACTGAAAAAGAAATATCAATCTGTTTAATATATGTAAGTATGATAAACACTAGTGATCACCAGATTAGAATGAAAACATTCAGAAATACTTCTGTTTTCTCATCGTAAAAACATACTCTCTGTGTCCTGAAAAAGACAGAAAAGACCTACCCTTCTGTAGACTATTGTACAGTTTATTTCCAGGTCAGAAACAAAGGTTTTAATCTGTTTTCAGTAGAAACAAAGATGTTTATAATAGACTCTTAATTTGTGTATTCTGTGTTTTCAGTAGAAACAAAGATGTTTATAATAGACTTTTAATTTGTGTATCCTGTGCTTCCAGATATTAATGCAACTCCACTAATGGTACTGATTAATACAATGGCAGTATGCTTCAAGCTGATTTAGCTTAATTTGGTTTTAATTTAGAAGTCAGTTTTAAAAGGCTTCAAAATTTTATTCAGGAATTATAAAATTCAGGAGCACAAAAGACTGTCCAGAAGTGATTCACTGCACCCTGGAACATACAAATGTTACCATTCAAATCAACAGCCACAAGAAGAAACTGTATTTAAGTATTTGAAAATAAGCCTTTTTCGTAAAGACATTTTGTATTTATTTATTAGTTTTTAAATAAGATCAGATCACACACAGAGGATGTTTATCATCATATATAAACTTGCCTGCTTTACACTTCTAATTCTTCTCTCCTCCATATAACCCAGTGAACCCTTTTTTAGAATGAAATGTCTTAACATGAAAAGTTACAGAGCACAGGACCACATACTGATTTATTATGGAATTGTTCCTACTAGGAAAATAATGTTATCCCCGATCTGGGACAATGAATAAAGCAGAGATGTTCACACCAGTTAAGTCAGGACACAGATTTAGTTATCAAGTGTTCTGAAGATTTTAAGAGTCTGTTCTTGGAATTGTTTTTCCCCCTCCAGAGAAGATCTAGCCAAAATATGTTGCTAATGTGTCATTTATAGGCACTCCTTCCCTTTTCTAAGCCTTCTTTGATCCATTTGCTCAAAGCACAACAGGCCTACAGAACCATCTCTGCAATCCCCTTCCAAGACTGCCAAAGTCTCAACTCAGTACTGCTATCAGAAGTTCAGTGCAGCTACCTGAACCTGACTTTCCAAAAGCATTAGACAGATCAACAGTGTATTAGCTGCCTTGCAGTATCTGCCTAGAAACTGTACACATACAAATAAGCTTACTCTTAGTAAAAGAAAGGACACATTTACAGTAGAGCAGAAAGCTACCACAGTAGCCAAAGCATTATTCACAGTGAGACTTATCTCACTGTATCTTATTTACCCTTTCAACTTTCAGATGCAGTTTCTAACCTCCCTCCTTCTATCATTTTTTGGGGATGTGAACACATCAAAATGAGACTGAATATAGACTTCATTTCAGAGCTGCCAACACCATCAAAGGAAACAACTTGTTTAGTACCAGACAGTAAAGGTAGAATGAAAGAAATGATAGCTTTTTCAAGGAGAAGAAATGCAACTGCAGCTGCTAGAAAACTGAAAAAGGGATTAAAATATCACTTAGCATTATTCAGTCAATGAAAGAATGGTAACTGTAGTACCTACCTCCTGTTTTCAGCCAAATTTGCACCTTCATCTTTCAGCTCCTTACTTTTCTTTACACAGTCTTCTAAGAGAATTTCCTTTCTTCTCTTAGTTGCATGCACCCAGTTAGCATCATCATCAGCCAGATCCTTGTCATCTGCAGCTTCTGCTTCAAACTGCTGAGACGTAGCTTTTGAAACTTTCTCACCAATCTTTCTCTTCCACCCAAAAGAAGCCATTTTGAGAACTAGATAAAAACGTATTTTCAGTAGTTAGGTCATTTATCTTTTAAGTACATCCAAGAAAACAGGCACCTCGCTCACCTCAATTCTCACAGTAACATGCAAGCGGCTGCCACTCCCCCCACACAAATCCTGCCCATCTCCTTCACCGGCGATGTTCGTCAGGCAACCACAGTTCGGAGCCCAGCTCGAAGCCTTTTTCTAAGGGGGCGCGACGACACCCGACACCCAGAGCTCTGGCACACGGGAAGCCCTTAGCGCGTTGACGCCCGCACAGCAGAAAGCAGCCAGGAGCCGGACGGGAACGGCCCGGT